GGGGCCCGGGGGGCCGGTTTGGACATTTAAAGGTGGCGGCGGCGGCCATTGGTGGAACGGGGCCGTCGCCGGCTTTTCCGGTGGCCGCGGCGGTGTTGTGTAGCAGGCACTATTCCCGCAAACACTCCCGGCATCGTAGGCGCCCAAAAGAGACGCCGCGACCGAGCAGACGTCGGTCATGTACCCGGTGAACAGGGCGGCGATGGCAGGGTCGCCACATCCCACGTGGTAGATGCGATCCAGCCAAACCAACGAGGCTGTGTCCTTGAGGATGTCGCCTCCGTGTCCCTTGTAGTCTGTGAAAAGAGAGGTTGCGGCGAGGCCGGTCATGGCGGTCACGTCGGGAACGCTGCCTGCGCTCTGCAAGATACGGAGCTCGACAACCGACAGCCCGTAGGGGTTGTCGATGATCGTGACATTCGGGTACTTGCCGCGGAGCTCCTCCAAGAAGTCCGTCCAGTTGGTTTGCGCCGCGTTACGCACCACGGATGTGTAGCTGTCGGTGTCGTACTCGGTCGGATAATCTAGCCATGGGAGGCCGATCATGAACGTGTTGAGATTCGGGTTCTTTGAAAGCGCGTAGTTGATCCAGAGCTCGCAACCCTCAGCCGTGTGGTCGAATGTCATGCCGAAGAGCGTAATGTTGCCCCAGTCAAGGATAGACTGAATCTCATCCCGCATGGAGTCCGAGTTCCAGAGAGCCAATGGCGCACCTGATGCGCCGCCGCTAAACACGATGGCTTGACTGTGGTTCAGTCCGGCAGCCGAGGCTAGCGCTGGCATCTTCTCCGCGATTGGACGGAAGAAGCTGTGCCCGATGAACAAGGAGTTGTACGCGGCAGCATGCTCGTAGAGAATGCTCATGGTGGCGATGACAACCGCGCTCGGTGCCCGCATGCGTGCGTGCGTTGATCTGTGCGCTGCGGTCGCACCGTATCAGGCCGGTCCGGCAGTGAGAGGTGAGAGCGTGAGAGGCCGGTTCGGAACTAACAGAAAGCGAGCGGCAAAACTCCCGAGACCTCGATAGTAACAACGGCGTCTCAGAACGAGGCCGAGGAGAGCGATGAGTCAGAGGAAGAGACAGCAGGAGAGAGAACGACGAGAGTGGGAAGAACGCGAGGTGGCATGAAGGTCGCTGCGAGAATTGCTGCACCCTCTGAGCTTCTTCACGGCCGGGACGCGTCGGCGGCTCGCTGCACGCTGGTCCTCACTCGCTGCGCCCGAGAGTGGTTGCGCAAGTTAATGCCGCCGATTCGTGTCTGAGGATAAGGCGAAGGCGCGGGGCGGGGGGCGTCTTCATCAATACAACACAGTTGAACCCCTCGCGCCGTGCTCTCACTCTCTCGCGACCCAATCCCAAAGTGGTTGCTCGCTGGTTGTTTTCCGGTTTTGGTTTTTGCGGATCGCTTACCCTCACGAGATCTGACCTCGGGGCCGATGTGACGCTCCTGTACGAACCTTCCGCCCACGCTCCAAGCCGTTCTTCCATATCGTCTAGCTCTCGACACTGCTCTAGTGGCCGCCCCTAGGTCTCTCGCGAGCCGTGCAACGCGGGACCCAGATCTCTCCCCTCACAGGCCCAGCCCGTCCGAGACGTAGAAGAAGAGGTAGCCGTTGGTCACCGCGGTCGCGTGGGGTCCGACCGCCGTGGCCGGCGTGATCCTGTCACGACGCGTGCCGCGTGAGCGAATGCCACTCGGAGGGCGCGGGCGGGGATGTGGCGTGGCGGGGACATGGCCGCGCGCCTCGTGACGGCAGTGTCGTCGTAGCGCTCCCAGTACTCCGCTGCGCCGCGCGCGCGCTGCACGTCGGCGAGGTAGTGGCCGAACGAGGCGTCGCCTGTCCAAAGGGCGGGCTCGTCGGGCTCGCGCGGGAGCGACGGCGGACTCGGGCGCGGGTGATCTCGGGTGATCTCGGGTGTTCCTGCCCCACGCAGCTGCACAGTGTGGGGGGGGATCTCAGGCAGCGGGCGCCACCACGGCCCTCACCGGCCGCGACTAGCGAGATCGGCTATTCAGCACTGCTCGTGAGGATTCTCTCTTCTTGTCAGGGGCGTCGGCGCACCGCCACGGTGCCACACCACGGCCCGCAGGCTGTACGTCGTCGCCTGCGTATAGGGGGTGGGGTGGCGTCGGCATACGCAGCAGACACGCGGGGGCGGGGGGGCGAGGGGCGAGGGAGGGGAGAGGGCGGGGGGGGCGGGGGGGGTCCCAACCCCACCTTGCCGAAATTTTCCCCCG